AAAAAAAATTAAAAAAAGAGATTCTCTTGCCTCAGCCTCCCAAGTAGCTGGGACTATAGGCACCCACCACAACGCCTGGCTATTTTTACAGATAAGGTCTCGCTCTGGCTCAGGCTGATCTCAAACTCGTGAGCTCAGGCAATCTACCCACCTCAGACTCCCAGAGTGCTAAGATTACCACCTAATAAATCTTAACAACATAAATTTTTTTACTTTCTTTAGAAATACACAGTATGATAAAACTATATAAAAATGAACATAAGGAGATACTAGTTACCTCAGGATAAGAACAGAAAGAAAAATTAAATGAAATGGCTTGGCGCCTGTAGCTCAAGCGGCTAAGGCACCAGTCACATACACCAGAGCTGGTGGGTTTGATTCCAGCCTGGGCCTATCAAACAACAATGACAACTACAAACAAAAAACAGCTGGGTGTTATGGTGGGTTTCTGTAGTCCCAGCTACTTGGGAGGCTGAGGCAAGAGAATCGCTTAAGCCCAGGAGTTGGAGGTTGCTGCGAGCTGTGATGCCATGGCACTCTACCCATGGTGATAGCTTAAGGATCTGTCTCAAAAAAAAAAAAAAAATTTTTTTTTTTTTAATTAAATGATTAGATGTATAGCTTTTGTCTGGGGTGCTTAGAGTTCCACAGCTTACTACATTTATTAAAAATAACTTACTGGGCTCGGCATCTGTGGCTCAAGTGGCTACGGTGCCAGCTACATATACCTAAGGTGGGAGGTTCAAATCCAGCCCAGGGCCTGCCAAAACAACAATGACGGCTGCAACCAAAAAATAGCCAGGCATTGTGGCGGGCACCTGTGGTCCCAGGTACTTGGGAGGCTGAGGCAGGAGACTCGCTTGAGCCCAGGAGTTGGAAGTTGTTGTGAGCTGTGATGCCACAGCACTCTACCCAGGGGGATAGCTTGAGGCTCTGTCTCAAAAAATAATAATAATAACAATAACTTACTGGTGGCACCTGTGGCTCAAGGAGTAGGAAGTTAGCCCCATATACTGGCGGTGGGGGGGTCAAACCCAGCCCCAGCCAAAAACTGTAAAAAAAAAAAAAAAAAAAAACCTTACTAATAAAGAAAAGTAAGCCATGCATGAACTCCAAGTGTGTATTAATCTAGTTCTCATACAGCAAACACTAAAGAAACTGCTGAATTCATCTGTGTATTCCAAATGCCAAGCACAAACCCTGGCACAAAGAATTTCAGGAGGTATTTGTGGAATTAACAGTGTCTTTTTGGCTCTGCGCCTGTAGCTTAGCAGCTAAGGGAGCCAGCCACATACATTGGAGCTATGGGTTCAAACCCAGCCGGGACCAGCCAACAATGACAACTACAAGCAAAACAAAGCTGGACATTGTGGCAGGCGCCTATAGTCCCAGCTACTTGGGAGGCTGAGGCTAGAGAATCCCTTAAGCCCAAGAGTTGGAGGTTGCTGTGAGCTGAGAAGCCAGGGCACTATACTGAGGGCAACATAGTGAGACTCTGTCTCAAAAAAAAAAAAAAAAAAAGAAAGAAAGAAACCGTGTCTTTTCTCCCTAGCCCACTAGCCTCCGACATACCTTTCAACATATCTAAAGCCAACCTCATCTTCTCTAATTGGCCTGTTCCTGGATTGTCCTTGTCCCCGGATTACCAAGCTCTTCTCTGCCCCAGGCAGCCGGGAGAAAAACCTGAGATTACCACTCATCCTCAACCTTCTCCCCCATAGCTCAGCAGCTGCCTAGCCTGCTGTCCTCACTTCCTCAGCCCCCACTGCTAGCACTTGGTGGGGACCTTTATACCTTAATAAAGTACTCCCTCCCTAATAGGTTCTCCATTTCTTATCTCTCCTTCTACTCCACCTCAGACGTGGGTGAAAGATTACGCTTCCTGAAGTACAGTTCTGATCCTGTCTCTTCCACACCTCTCCAGAATAAAGTACTAAGTTCTTAGGAAGACAAGTCAAAGTCCATCACAATATGGCCCCTCACTCCCAACAATATATACCAGGGCACTTCCCTTCAATCCCTCTCACCTCTATTCCTCTATGATCCCTCCTGAGGAGTTTAAGTGACCTCCAGGCCTCTGTTCCACCTCAAACCCACTTGGCCCCCTATACTTACTTTACCCGTATTTTCAAGGCC